GTGGGCAAGGACCACGGCAGCTGCTGGAAGGCGGCTGGGCCAGCAGATCGGGAGCGAACCCTGTTGGACCAGCCGGAGTGGGCCCGGGCATAGGACCAGACTTAGGGGAAGCGAGGGGGTTGAACTCCCCAGGTGAGATACCCAAGGTTCGAGGGAATGGAGAATTCCTCGACGGCTATAGCAGAAGCCACATGAAGAGAGTAACAGTCAATGCCCCGCGTCTCGAAGGGGAGAGTCGCGGCCATGAGTATAACTCTTGGAGAAAGTCGCTTATCCAAGCGGCCAAGACTAGGACTGGACGGCCAATTGATCGGCAACAACGAGAGACATGCACCTGTCGGCATCCCAAACGTGCCAAGCTCGGAGCTGTACCGCCTCCAATACACCAGCGACGAGGTCCAGAGGGACCTCCAAGCGTTCCATTTTGCGACCACTGCCATCGTCAGAGAAGCCGACAAGGCGATCGTGAACAAATGCGAGACCGCAAAAGAGATCCTCGCGGAACTCGACAAAATCTACGATGCGGAATCGCAGGGCTCGAAACAAGCCCTCATGAAGCAAATGTTCAACTTCACGATCCCCACACAAAGCAGCAGAAACCCCATCGAGCACCTTTACTCGCTCGAGCTGCTGTACTTACGCCTACGCGAAAAAGGGGTCAACGCTGACGAACCCTTTGTACTCGCCCACTTCGTTGGTTCCCTCCCACCCGAGTACCAACAAGCGAAGTTCCTGTTGGAGACAGCAACGGCGCTGGATAGGGCCGAGATCGTCAGGATCGTGAGCACGGTGCACGCGAGCCTTCCGGAGGGGAGGAAGGCCTCGAAGGGCCAGCGGAGGGCGGAGCACGCTCTCCTCGCGAGCGACCGTAGCGGTGGGCGAGGAGCGGCCTGGCCGCGGCAACGGCGGCCCCCGCAAGGGTGGCGGCGGCGGCGGCAGCGGCGGCGGCGACCAGAAGGGGAGAGGGGGTGGCGCGAAGGCTGGTGGCGGCGGCGGAGGCGGCGACGACGATGCGGGTAGCATGCGCGGTCGCTGTTTCCGGTG